GTAGCGTGGTCTCTGATATCCTGGAAACCAGTGCCTGTTCCTCCATCTTTTCACTGTCTATCGGCTTCACTAGAGAACCAGCACCTAAAAATCATGAGACAGCAGCATATCAAAAATATAGTGCGTGTTCAGGCTAATTGTCAGTGAACTGATTGACAATTGAATTAACCTGTTTCCTTTTTCTTTCCTTTCGAAGATTTTATTAAGGCCCTTGGCAATGAAATCAGTCATTGTCCATAGGAGGCCTATTGCAGTCAGGCTTATGTTTAACTCTGTCTTTTGAGCACTATATGTGCCAGTCACATCTACACACCTGCAATAGAAATAACTACACAAATGAGACAACAGAAAGAGCACACCAGGGAACAATCCAGAAGGAGCACCTAAATGCAATGGCGAGTAAACGATTATGAAAAAATGGGATGTATTATCCTAAATGCAATGGAGAATAAACAAAAATGGAAAACTGCGATCTTACACATGAAGGCAGTCTGCAGGAATTGTGGACAGTCCATCATTCATTATCACTTGAAGGTTCTATAAAGGAAATAATAAATGGGAGGGATGAAAATTAGCATACAGACGAACAGCTCTATACAGCTCACAGCACAAGAAAACTAACAAAATTTAGAATCACACTAATATATTAACCACAAAACAGCAATTCAGCATGCATCAAGAGACTGAAAATATGTGCAATAAGATCAAAGGCTGAAATTTAGAATTGGATGAATGAATAACAAAACATACAACAAGACAGCAATTGAATAAATTTCCATAAATAAACTTGAAGACTGTGACATAATTAGGATTGGCAATTCTTTTTAGCCAAAAGGGTGCACTTTTTTTTTTTTCTGGCCAAAAGGATCATAAACAAGTGTGCACATAAACTTAAGCACACTAAGTGCCATAGTGAAGCAAATGCCCGTCTAATAATTTTTCACATTAATGCTTTTAATAAGGGATTTGGAAAAACTATTTGTGGTAAAGATTACGACAGCATTTGGGCCTTAAGCTATGATAGTCCATGGTTTGTCTATGAGTAGGCACTAGTCTCCAGTCAGCTGTAGTTGCTACCTTTTCTTACAGACATAAATAAATCTGATTATTAAGTAGCGTTTCAGCATGTTCCTTGTTCATTTGTATACCCGCTGTTTGTTATCATTTGTGTTCAGTCATGTTTGGGTTTTCACAATACATGCTAACCCAAGTATGCCTTTCGGTGTTATAGGTCTATTAGAATTTAGGGCTATGTTAGCTATAGTCGTTAGCTTCTTTTTATTGGTATTATCTTATGTAATCATGATTTTAGATAAGATCTTGTTAGATTTGTTAGTTACTACCTCTAATCCTTAATATAAGAGCTAATTGACTAATTTGAGTAGATTAAAGAAGTTTGTTAAGTTAGTTATTTGTAATAAATAGGTGCTGTCTCCCTTAAAATACCCTTACTAATCAAGTGTATTAGCTTTAATATTTGAAGAAATATTTAACATGTACAACAACTCCAAGGACTACTTTTGGGAAAAATAAATAAATATGAGAGACAAAGTGGATTGGAGTCTTATATTTAAGACTAAATTGAAAGTCAAAATAGCTCTTATATTAAGGAACATAAATAGTATTAGGATTTATTTGGGGATATTATCCTGTTTTTAGAAGGATTTAGATAGGATTTAATTACCTCAGTAATATTTCGATAGATAAGGATAGCTAGAGCATGTTTCTATAGAGTAGGGTATTTAGAGAGTGCCATAAGAGGCAATGCATGCCTGATTTTTGCATTCAATTTCCATTAAGAATTGCATGCTCAAATTTCCTCTTGCTCTCAATCTCTATATTTCTTGTTGCCTCTCTCATTCTCTCTCTTTTCCTTAATTCCCTAACATATTAATAAATATTATCATTCACTTGCAATTTTAGAGTATCATTGTGTACTATATGTTTCCTCTACACCATGCATAGAACACCAAAAGGCCTAATGTGATGATAAGGGAAAGGAAAAATAACCAAAAACAGAAAAGGCGATGCTTGGACAAATATGCTGTATGATATGTACTCACAAACACGTTAACGAGAAATTCAGCTCCACTTTTGTAAAAATACATCTAGAGAAAAATCAGTGACATCATTGCTGACCTGGAAACCAAGAGTGACAAGATCCTTCTCCGGCGCATCCGCTACAGACCTTAGGGCAAGGCATAAAAACAGAGGTCAACCAAATTGTTAGAAATAAATATTGATGCAATAGAGGAATTGTAACAAGGCCAACCTCAACATTTCAAGTATATTAGGCCAACTGAAATGAAGTTTCTCCCCATGTCTCTGAAAGAATTTGTTAAACAACATTATGAAAAGACTGTAGGAATAACAAAAGGAAAAACGACAAGAAAACTAGATCAAACTGCAGCAACATTAACATTACCTCTAAAACATGAAGAAGAATCTTCAAAGATCCAACACGAACATCAACACTTTGAGTAGAAAAATAAAGAACCTTTAACGCGGATATGACAGAACATTCAAGTGACCTCAGCTCTGAGGTGCTTGATTCAATCTACAAATGCTTACACACATCAAGTCTTATTTTCATATTGGAAATTGATTTCCCAGTCACCAGAAAGATTAGAAGTTCTTACTTCTTGAGATGTTTTATGCAAATTAAATTGTTTGTTATCTAGAAATTGATCTGAATCTAAGACCGCAGATATGGATCTATCCAGCGCATCAAGTGCCATGTTCCTCAAGTGTGGATTAGAATGATCGGCAAGCTGCAAAAATATTTCATATTAGCAAGAATAAATATGAAACTAGCATTGCACATATCAGATGAAAAAATGGGGAAAGGAAAACCTCAAGAAAGTGACCCACAACTTGATCCCAAAATGGTTCCACTCCTGCAGTGGAAAAAATCATATGACGATAATATTTTCGCTCGCAAATTTATCAGAATAAATACAAGTAAGAGAGGTTGAGCAGCTAAACGTCTGACATAAATTTAGAATGTCTGGCATGTTATGGTTGTGTAAGGTGCATACTGTGAACATTATTCACAAGGATGGATATCATTCTCTCCACAGAAAAACTGATGCTTCCAATTTTTTGACTGGTTGGTGCCAGGCCACTTGAAGTACTGGACATGCACTGGTGTGAAAGCTGGCATAATGCAGAGAGAAGTGACCTCACTGCAGATATATTCATTAGAGCGGAGCTCTCAAATAGCTGCCAAATGGATAATAAAACCGAGTTAGAAAAATGGCCTATAAATTCCAAGAGACACAAAATAGTACTAAGTGAAAAAACAGAAGATTACAAGAATAAAAATTATAAAAATAAGGGAAAATATGTTTTAGCAGGAGCTTTTCAGATTACAAGCCTGCAGCCATGAAAAGAAGAGCATCAAGAAAATTTTCAGCTGACACTGAAACCCATAGTTATTAGTCAAATTTCATGTGTGCCACCAACCAAGATTGAATTTGGTCAACCCACCTGAGAATTCAAGGAAGAGAGGATATTGAAGTCACTGTATTGACTAGATGATTCCCTTGTGAACTTGGGGACTAGGGTAGAGACCTCCTGCAGAATTGATTGCCACAGACCTCTATAAGCCTCAATTGCAGACATACCAAAATGATTTTTTAAATCAATATAAGTAACAAATAAAATTGGCTTGGAAAAATCACACATGATATGTTGAGCAACTGTAAACACAACTGACACATGACGGTTGTACAATGTAATCATACATCACCGGATCATACCTGAGCTGTTGGCGTTTGTGGTCAAAACACATGGTAAATAGGAAGGCTTGCTCACTTGTATATTTACACACACAGTGGAGCCCTGTCCACTGTTATATGTAAATACATGTAGAGACACACTAAACATGACAAACATGAATACAAAGAGTAATGCCTCAAAGACAACAACAAACCCTTGAGATAATGAAATGACATAACTACAGGACTCCTAGATGATAAAATAGTAAAGTGGCTTGCGATAAAATCATCCGTGGGTAAGGTTGGTTCATTCTAATGCTTTATCCCTCGCAGGCCATGACAGAAACGCATAAGAAGTCAACATTCCTCCCTCGAAATTAACCCCTACAATTTTTTTCGCTAGGAATTAAATTGAACAGTGCTATGATGGTGCGGATTGACAGCACAAAATTACAATTCATTTCATAATTTATGATTTAACTATTATTATAACATAGATAAAGGATTTATAAATATCTAAAGTCTTACAATATTTTTTTCACGCGTTTATTTTCTATCCTATGTTGGTCTATGTATATAAATACCATGTAAAATGTTGAATAAAATCATTGGAAAATATTCAAACATCTGTCACTTTCTTATTTTCCTTCATATCCTACACTAAAGCCCAACTTCAATCTTCCTGCACCGTCTTCGTGCCAAGAATTTCACTGTTGTTTCATAGTTTCCTGCTTAAGGCAATATTGAATAACAAAAATAACTTGTTCATCTTAACAAGCATTCAGCTATATTTTTATCACAACACCAGATGAAGATCTTGCTCTTTTGTACCAAGAGATAGTTCATGGTAGTATAATCGCAGAAAATGTTCCACACATGCTCTCGACTCGAGAGAGCTAAATTAATAAGTGAACCAGCTTTTACTAGATACCAGCCAAAATATATATATATATATATATAGGCAAGTATATTAAGGTATCAATCTAACTTCTCAAATGTCCAAAAAAAACCCATAAAAACAATTAAGCTGTTAGACGGAAGCCCAAAATTGATTTTGCTTTATTTTTAACACCCCCTTTTGTTCAACAGGCCTGTGTAGACTCACTACTACTAGCACTGAAATCAAACTCCTCACCACTTATCATAGAACCATATACCCCAAAAGTCTCACCTATTTGTAGAAGACCCTAAAATGGGTTAGATTTATATTTCTAACAAGAAGTAATAAAATTAGGCTCAATAATTAACACACATATATATAAATTTCCTCTCTTTTATACAAGAAGTAGAATGCCAACCAACAAGACCGTTCATTCAAGTAGTTACCCATGTATGAATTTAACACATTGTCCACCAGGCTGATGTGTGGCTTAACTCTGAGTTCCACTATAAACTAGCATTGCAATTCTAGCCCATTTCACTGAAGAATAATAAATGAAAGTAATAAATTTACCTGAGTAGTGGCATGTGGCGAATGAATTGCTCGATCTAAAGCTGCCAAAGTTTCTAAAACCTGCAGTTGTTCAATATAATCATTTATGAGCAAGAACTCAATCTCCTAACAAACAATATGACAAAGTATAGCTACGTACCAAGACCCAAGAAGGGCCCAAAACATTATGCAACCTATGAGCAATGTTGAATAAAGTTCGCAAGGCCTAGTTCCAAGATCAGTGAGTGAAACACAAAAGTATGTGAGCAGCCAAATGTTACGAATCCATGAAACAGAAAACAAACTACAGAAAGGATTCGTTACAAATAAAGGGAGGAAATTGCAAACTGCATACAAAAGCATCCTCAAACCAGAAGTGCTACCTGTACATTCTTGGGAGTAAGCACAATACTATCCCTCTGATCAACCAATAATTCAGACCGCTTTGATCCAGGAGACTGCAAAAGACTGCTCAAAATCATAACCCACTGATTACGACTCCATACCTCAAAATCATAACCCACTGAATTTTAGCCAATATAACAGCACTGCCGGTTTGAATTCTTAAATGCTACACTAATAACCATTAAGCAGAGTATCACAACCCACTGATTACGACTCCGTACCTCTTTTTTTCTGTTTCAACAGGAAAATTAATTGTAAATTTGCAAAGGGAAGCCAGAAATGAGTTCAGAGGTTCCACTGCTCGGAGAATACCACATGCCTGTTATTCACCATATCAAGTGTCAACAAATAAAAATCTAAAGTTAATAATCCATCATTCATGTAATCACTAAATAAGAATGCAAAACCACAACTGGGTCACCTGAGTGAATGCCTGATATCCCTTGAGTATTTCCAATACAATGGCTTCTCCTTGTGACCTTCAAATCATCCATTAGCAAGACATGAAGGAATATAAAAGACGATTATAGACTACATAGTGATGTCGTCAATTGAAACTAATGTAAAAACATAATGAATCATACTGAATTGGTTTTTGGTAAAAGGAAAAAAAAATAGGAAAAGGAGTGCATATTGTGTGAAAACACAAAGATAAAGCTCAAAAATAACAAAATCCTTATGAGACTTGATACTGTAAAAGAGTGTTCTACAATCCACCAAATCATATGGAGGAATCCTCAAAATCCAGGGTCATCATTTTGTTGACCTCTGTTTCCACACAACCTCTATAAATACACACACACACACATAATGCAAGCATAAAACAAACCTTGATAGCACAAGGGATAAAGCATCAAGTATTGTCAACCACAGAGAGTCCACCATTGAATAGCAAAGAACTGCAGTCTTCCCAGTCCAGTTCACTGGTGCATCATTATCACATCTAGGGGATTCAAGCTGATTGGACAACAACAAAGCAAAAAATTAAGATAACTTATAGAGGTAGGAGAGAGGGGACAATCATAAAGAATTATGAAATTACCTCCCCAATATCCATGGCTTCATCTGTTAAAGTTGCTACAGTGAAGACAACCCCTAACAGACCTTCAACAGCCAAAGTTATGGCATGCGCTTCACTGGCAACTAAGACTGCAGCATTGGAAGCATCATTATCCAGACTCCATTCGACACCTACAACAGAAAAAAATTCTTATATGTTACACAAAATCATAGCATGCGAAAAGGTGAGCATGTTGTCAAATTTATTTTTCATCTTAACAACCACCATTCATGTTTATACAATTATGATGACCGTTACAAATGAAAGACAATGTTCTTTTAAGCAATACTTACTTGGACTTTTTTGTTTAAAGATTAAGCAGTTCAGAAAATTTTCAAGACCCTGAACACTTGAAATAGTTCTAATTTCTATCTGGAAGAACATAACCATGCGTGTTCATGCCTATTTGTTCACATTCTCATTTTCTGCCTTTTCCTATTACAACTTGCAGTTTGAGTAGCTCAGGTGATTGACAAAATAATGAAGGGCTTTCTTGGGTCTAAAGATGGGACCTGGAGGATAGGAGCAGATGACCAATATCTTATCAGTTGGAAGGATTGTTGCAGAACTACAGAGAAATTGGAAGTTAAAATTCATGTTTTTAACAACTAAATGAAGCAGATAAAGATCACAAATATGTAGGTATACAAGTTGTCAAATTATACAGAACAGACAGAACAAATGAACGCTCCTTTAGGATTATTGCCAAACGTATCATTCCCGTTCTAACATAAAGTTGAGACTTTTTTTGGGAAGAACTATTTAGGATTTAACAAAGAGATTAAGATGTCACAACATAATTGTTCAACCTCAATATAAAAATCATCACGTTGTTTTTTTGCTTATCCGAGGGACAGATCCCAAAATCAACTAAGATTAAACAGAGGGGACCACTGTCCCAGTTAAATCATTGTTTACCACCAAGGACAGGTATAGTCTCATACAACACCATTTGCACTAATGATGCCACACCGAGTTCAGCAATGAAAATCAATACCTTTGGCTTTGCTACTAAACATCCCTGCAACAGCTGCTAGGCTCTCCTCACTTGTTTCTTGAACCTAGAGAACACAGAACCTCCACTAAGCACAAAAATATTTTCAAATCTAGGCAACCGAGAAATACTGCCAAATCTTCAAGACATTATATGCATGATAACTAGAAGCCTCTTCAGAAAATGCATTGACAGTAGTGAAAGGATCTTAATATACATAATTGAGGCAGGGAGAACCAACGCAATTTGATTAAGCTCAGGTCAAGATAGCACGCCATATTCAGAGGAAAAACAAGGATGGCGAATTTGATGATATCATTGCAGAGTTTATTCCATGCTACATCCACAAAGTATGAGTGGAAATTGAGTTAAAAGATATGTTGTCAACATCTACCTGTAAATTTGAAACAACTCTAGCAAGAGCTTTGACCATACCCTCCACAACATTTGTGTTCTTGGGATGCCTACATTTCAGTTAATTGCAGTAGTAAATACATATGTTATGAATGTAGAACCAGTTCATTTTATCAACACCACTACAGCAGAAAAATGTCAGAATTTGCTATTGTCTGATGAGAAATCCAATGAGGAAAAAACAATTAGATATTGTCCTAAATTTCGACAAATTAGCAATGCATCAAGGGACTCTTGAGAACTGAAGTTTCAAAACCCACTTTAAAGCTAACAAAAAATTAAACATATATCTTAGTTTCAAACGCAAAACCGAAAAGTGAATTGCATGTCTTACTTAAAGAAAGAGAACTATTCAAAAGCCTAACTATATCAATTCTTAGCATGCAGCAAAAACCAAAACTGATTTTTTTTCCCCTCTCCATGCATTTAATGAGGCATGATCTGATTTTGTAGCTGATCAGAACTTTGAAGATAATATGATTCCAAAGTCAAACAATTCCCTTTTCAACCCCCATGTGTCTATTTCTTTCATTGCAATACCATGCTACAGCTGCAGAGAACCAAGGGCCCTCCTATACACACACACACACACATCAAGTAAGCAAATCTCACCAATCACTCTGCATGTCCACCCACTCATTTTGGCAAACGTTTGCAAGTTTCAGAATATGCATATCAATAACTATGATTTACTTCCATTTACACGCTTTCTTTTTAGAATATGATTTTCCAAATTCAATATAACACTGAATCCCTTAAGTCTGAAATGGAGACATTAAGAAATGGCATATCCTGCTATGGTAAAGGTGAAGATATGCTATTCGGACAGAGTAAGCAAATACTTAACAGGTGTATAAATAGTCTATCGCCTTGTTTATGCCATCAGGTGGAGCGCATGAGCAAGAAACAAGGGAGGAAATTGAACAGCATTATGCATAATACCATTGAATAAGAAGATATTTAGCTCACATGTCAAAATTTTGGAAAAGAATCCGCAGTGTCCATGCCTCCACACAGAAACCCTACACATATACCGGCTCGCTACATTAAATATTTACAGAGGAAATTAATGTCTCAAGCCAAATAAATTCAAAAAGTATTTTCGTGTTCATCTACATTACCCTCAAGATTTCAAGAACAAGAATGCGATGCCATAATGGCAAGTCAAGAAAAGTAACCTTCAGTAACATACTGAGAAATACCTGCACCAAGGTGAAAAAATTTGATATGTTTGAATTTGCAACCAATCAAATTGTAAAACTATTAATAAAAAGGGCCGTTGCTGAATAATTTAACAATTATTGGAATATCATGAGCTGACTAGAAGAGCATGGGAATAGAAAATTTACCTCACATTCGGTGACAAGGGATGAACTGTAAAGCCTAATTATATGAGCAACTGACCGCAAGACCAAACGACGAAAGCTGGGTTCACCAGCTTCTCCTTCAAGCTGATCAGATATTACAGAATTATGGCGAAGAAAACTCCTTTTTAACTCAATTGAACAAAAGTTCCAAATACAAAACAGTCACAAGGGGATCAACTACCTCAGTATTGGTACGAAGTGAAGTCATCAAAAGTGAACATATCTTTCGTCGTAAAATCTGTCATTTCTTTTAACAATTATATCCAAAATAACATAACAACAAACATGCTAGCAGTAAGAACACTCTGAATTGAGATAAAAAGAATCACCTGTTCATAAGGTAGCAATGTCCTGAAAACAGCCACATAATTGGACAAAACAAACCTATAGAGGGTTGCCCAATTAATCATAGTGAAAAGCATTAGAAAAGTGATATGGTGACTTAATAGCAAATGATCGTCATTGACCAACTTGGTGATGACTGTTCAAAAGCATTATTTACAGTGACAAAATCTGTTGGTGGACCTAGGGCCTATATCAGGTCCAATGTCCTATTTGCTTCACAAGTTTGACGTATTTCCGTCTTAAAACATGATAACATTGTATGGCATGATGTGAAGTAAAAATGACAGAAAATATAAAGATAGAGAACAAGAATATGCCTTAACCAGGAGAAAAGCTAAACAGAAAAACCAAAGGCAATGACACGGATTCATTTTGCCTTGATGACTTCAGCAATGAGCTGTTTTATATTATTATGAAGATGATGATGATGATGATGATGATGCTTGAATAGTTAATATACATGTCAAATATTATCAGAATAATTCAAATTTATTTATTTTGAACTTATCTAGCATATTTTCAGTTTCTTTCTTATTTTGACACCTTCTTCCACTCAGGTAAGCTCATTTCTAGCACTCTTGAAATAGCTTTTAATACATGACATTAGTGGAAACCAGTGAAACTAATCCTAGGCAGCCAATCAAAGAGCACACCACACAAAATCTCATGAAGAAAAAACCACAACCTGCCCAAAAAAAATTCTTACTCAAGTATATCAAGTGCAAACGCCCTCTGAAGAATATTAGCGCGTAACCAAATTGCCTGTAGGATGATTGCCAATTTAGTGATGTAGGAAATAGCATAAAATAAATATCAATCCATTTCACTGGCTGCTAGAAATAGACAAACACGAACACCTAAATTAGTTTCTAAGTACCTATGGTCAAAAAAGACAACAAGCTAGAGCTACTTTAACACAAATAAGTAGTTTCAAATAAGCACATACAGATCCACCTGCGGCAAGAGATGTCAGGTCTTCAAGCAACCGAAGCCCAAGTTTTCCCGTTTCAGTTAAAGTCTCCCTCTTAGATGGTGACCCTCCAAAAACAGATTCGTGATAGAAAGAGCTGCGCACAATTATCTTCACAGCATAAGTTTGGATCTAGAAATCAATTTGAGACAACAAGGCCTAAAATGCCGACAAACATCCACTACAATAAAAAGCAAATAAAACAGAAATAAGAGTGATCTGGATTCCCTCCATTAAGGGGTTGGGGGAACATACTCTGACAAATTGATGCTGCGGTTAACATCACCAGTAACAGAGCTTGTACGAGAAAGCTGACTTCCAAAACCATATTTGCCAGCAGGAAGAGACTCAGCCAAAACCACGCGGTCAAAAATTAAGGCCACAGCTTGCCTAAAGGTAGCTGCAGCAGTACTGCATAACAATTGCAAAAGAACATGTATAGACACACAAGAAATTAATATCTCCACGAATGCAAGGCAACTGATGTAGAATATAATATTAATAACAAATGACTACATTAAGAAAAGTTTGCCGATGCTCAATATAATATCTCTTACTTCCGCACGCTATCAAAAGATCGGGAGTTTTCGAGAAGCCTAAGACAGATACCAAGAGCTTGGGCCATTGTATCCTGAAATTAAAAATTGAAGTGGCTTGGAAACTGCTAAGTAATACAATAAAAGAGGCTAGTCAATAACACAACTGGATGTAAACGGGCTACTCAAGAGGAAATAAAATTGTATTGAGCAGACTGCTTTGAGTGGAAACAAGTCAGCCACATGGTGATTCCAAACCACAAACTTTTCAAATATATCTTTCAAAAAAGTAATCATTAATGGGGAAAAAATTAAGAGATAATGCGACATTATGATATCAGAGATTATGATATCTGATCCATATCCTCCTTTCATCGGTCTTTTCAGTGACTGCTCAATGACTCGGGTGTTTTCTCAAACTGCTTGACATCTTCGCTGTTGTCTCTCCAATATTTCATATCCCAAATACTCATTGCAGCTAACAAATTCATTCTAAGAATACGGACAAAAATATATTATCAACCATTGTAGGCAGATCATCCATCTTTTGACAGCAGTGACACTACAGATGCATGAAGTAGATTGTACAGAAGGCAATGTATGATGTTATACAATTAACTAGCATTGCAAATGAGTATAATGCAGAATATTCAAAATGCCCTATATAAATGATGAGTGAAAATAGACGGAGGAGTTCTTTTCAGCTTGAATTTTGTAGATGAAATAGCAGTTTACTGCATATACATTACGTAATGGTATTGTGCTCGTATAAGAGCTGTATTATAGACTACAAATATGAAAGTCATTAGTCTACCTACTAATTATTAACATTAGTTACATATGGATTAAAGTTTGATTCACTAATGCAAAGAATTTTCTACAGACAGTGAAGCTTCAATGTATTTCAAAATCTGTTGAAAATTCTAACAAAATTACCACAGCGATATGCCAATTTCATGTGTATTGACAGTGTATAAAATTTAGCGCTACAAGGGAATCAAATTAACATATTGCATGTTCTCTGGATTTTATATGTTGATTAGCATGTGCTGACGTTATAGGAAATTCAAATTAGATTCATAATTAAGACTACCGTTGTTCATCCATTGGTTAAGCATGTTCTTAATCAATTTGAAGACTAAGCTTTTCAAGGTGGTCAAGCTTAAATGCATCAATAGTGACAAAATGCATAATCCTCATTTAGAGATACTACTTTTGAGTCCATTCTACTTATAAGCAAGCTTCTAGCTATAATATAGCTTCCACTTTCTATATAGCAAATGCACAATGTTCACTAGCTGAAGATTACCTCATTTTCAGGGAGTAAACGTGACTGGAATATTATTGATATGGTCTGCAGCGTCTTGAGCTGAACGCCCTCATCTACCATTTCAGCATGCTGCAGAGGGGAACAATTTTTGGCAGACCACAAAGGCACAAGTCAGATTTCCCACAATGGTGGAGAGTGTTGTCATGTCTTGGCTTTTGCATAAATCAATGATAACAAGACTCATCAAAGTAACAGGAGTAACGAAAGCACCAAGGATCAATGTTCGTGCAAACACAGCTAGGCCACAATATGATCATGGCAGCATAGATGATAAGGCCAGAGAATACAAGCAAAAGCAAGATCCAACTGAAAGGATTGAAAATTTGAAGCCATAACGTGTACTGAATACTTATCTAGACTTACGTCCTTCAGTGTGGATAATATCTCTTTGAGGGAAGATGGAGAAACCGCATCATGAGATATGAGTTTCTGCAGACATGAGAGTCCAATAATGCTAAGCTTAACTGTTCTCACGTCACATGCCATCAAAAATATTCTCAATATGTCCTCATTATGTGCGATTTCACTGGGATTTGACAAAGAACGAAGCTGCAAGTAGATGATAATAAGAAATGTAAGCAAATCATACTTGAGTCCTTTTATTTTTAGAAAATGACGTAATGAGCAAAAAATAGTCTCTTTGACAACTTCAGCTTTGTACTACGCATCTGGAACTAACAAAATATATACATGATGCTGTCAAACAATAATTCGTATGCCAAGCACTTTTTGTCTATTGTCTTTTCGCGCGCTTGGATATTTATCTAAGCATCGCTCGAATTTTTGCTTGAATGACAACCACATTACATTTTCTTCAATTCCTGAGCACCAAAAATCCAGCATTAAGGTCACTTGAAACTAAATCGTGCAGTTCAATGACGCCATTTGAGTAAAGGTCGTGCTCCTAACGAGTGATAATAAGTGTCTGAGTTGTCACATTTCTCTTTCCTTTATTTCAATCTCTAAATGACCAAAAAATGCGGCGCAAAACTTCCTTTCTGAAAAACTACATCTAAACACAGAAGTTCGGATGTTACAGCGGCTACTTGCTGATGCATTCAGGAGCATGTAATATGAGATTAAAAAATTATACAGAAATTAATATATAGCATTGAATGATAACCTTAAGAATTGCATGCTCAGCGCCGTCTTTAACAGCAGGATACCGACGGCGAGCTTCTGCAGAAAGAGCGCGAAGGTCAGATTCTAAGACCGCCATGAAAGCCATCTCGGAAATTCTCACTTCCTAAGTTCGCCGATGGCGAGTACTCCGCTATGCCTTAGAACAAATTACGAGGAGCAACGATCAGTTTAGAAGGAGCATCACCGCAGAGATGAGTGGGGAACAGGGAATTGCCCATGGATCTGGAGTGCGGAAGCCAGACATGGATTCTCTGCAGGTCGCTCGTTTACACAGTTTAGGACGGTGATCGATCACGGAGAGAGCAATTTTGGGCTTCAGTAATTGGGTTGATGGTATAAGGCCGCCCAAAAGGCTTGGGTTTGGGCGTACATGGAGACTTAAATCCAGTGTCATTTACCCTAAGCACAGCCTCTGAGTGTCTGTCCCCAAAACAAAATACCCTAACGAGGGGTCCAGGCCGAAGATACCTAGGTGAGAGAATGCGACCGACTTCGGGGAACAAATTGGGCCGAGACCCAAAATGGAAACCCCAATTACTGATCCAGGACGAAACCCTAATTACAGATCATGTCGGCGGAAACTACCCAATTAAAGAGAATGATCAATTAAGAGATGGGCGGCCCAACCTTTATTTTTTAAGTCTGACCAACGAAAAAATCAAAAATTCATCTGTGCATATTTTTCCCACCGCCGCATTTATAAATTTTATATTTTAAAAAATTATACAAACTATTATATAAACCAAAGATAATAATGTTTTATTCACTAGTAGCTCCAGTCTTTAATATAAAGGCTGGTTGAGTAATTTGAGTGGACTAAAAAAATTAATTAAATTAATTATTTATAACAAATAGGTGTTGTCTTCCTTATAATACCCTTACTAATTATGTGTGTTGACTAAAGCTACTATTTAATGAAATATTTGATATGTGTAACTATTATAATGACTGGCTTAAGAATAGATGAATGAATATAAGAAACAAAATAAATTTTGATTTTATATTTATGACTAAATTAAATTCAAACTAGCTCTTATATTCAAAGTTAGAAGTAGTATTTATCAAGCATGCAGCACAACTTGTTAATTTTGTTTGTTATACAACTCGTATCATATTATATTGATTAAAATATATAAAATCTTCCCGAAAGTATTTGAAGTTAATCTCTTTTGGAGAGTTTTAACTTTTAACGTTAAAAGTATGTTTGGATTGAATCAAAACCATAGTTTTAAAAGTGTTTTTACGATATACTAAATAAATATATGAAAGAATTTATCTCGATTTGTGAAAAAGTGCTTTTTAAAAACACTTATGATGTTTCCTAAATACCTCCTAAATCCCCCATCATTATTTTCATTGTTAATTCGCTAGCAGAACTTGTCATGTCAAATTGACAATAATTGTGTGGCACCTCGCATTGATTGAAAATTTCACGTTAAGGTGCACAAAACTATTTATATTATTTACATATAACCTCTTAATTTAAACTTAGCCTTCTTAAAATTTTAATTTCTAATACTGACCCTTTTATATTATTAAGTTATTGACAAAAAATGTCATGTCAAAATCTGACATGGACTAACAGATTTACGTTAAAATATATAAAACCTCGTCTGCTTGACTGCATATATAAGCCCTCAGTATTTAAAAATTTAAATCTAACCTTCTGTTCTGATTTTTAACATGAAACCTCCAGTCAGTAGTTTTGTTATTGAGCCAAACGATCATGTCAGACTAATGACAACGACATCGTTTTCTTTTTTGGCGTGAAAAAGCTATTTTAACAGCCCAACAGCCCACTTCTGTTGTTTTGCTCCAACCAGGCAAACTGGCAAAGCGATTAGCGATCGAGGGCATTTCAGAAGTGTTTTTACGATATACGAGATAAATATATAAAAAAATTTATCTCAATTTACGAAAAAATGTTTCTGAAAAGTGATTATTGGGGTATCCAAACACCCCCTTATTGTGTATATGACTATGGCCACACGGGAAATAAATGTCGACACTGAAAAGAAAACTAACCCAAAAGAAAAGGTATTCTATAAACTAATAAACTACTTTAAGTAAATTAAATATGTTAGTAAAATCAGTTATGGTTAATCTAATTTTTTATCCATTCATAAAATTAGTCATGGTTAATATAATTTTTGATTCCCTAAATTCACTCTCATTTTAGTTTTGGTCCCTCAAGTTTCAGGTCATAGGTCTCGGTTATTTAGATTTTTGTTCATTTAAAACACTGGTTCCTGTAATTCAATAAAAACTTGAAATGTTTTGCTCATTGAAGAACCAAAACCAAAATGAAGACTGAATTGAGGGACAAGGATTATATTAATCCAATTAGTTAATGTAATACTTTTCCGATCCTAAATATAAGACCCTTATATACACTGGTATGAGGGTCTTATATTTAGGACTGGAAAAGTATATTTTTTTCTAAATCGTCATAAGATCTTTCTTTACTTCTTCCCTCCCCCTCCTAGTTAATTATTATCGGGAAAATATCAATAAAGTTAATTTGTGAAAAAGTTGATAAACATATAAATAAGTTATTCATATTAACTTCCTAATTAAGTTTTATATTAAGCACAAAAATAATATGTTTTTGGCTGCCTTGAAATTACAATTGCCGGTACCTAAACAGGCGGAAGGGATTAGATTGCAATCTGCCTGAAGAGTTAGAAAAGCAGGTAAAAATTCAAGAACTAAAGGACAATAAATACAAATTCTGAAATAAAAAACAGAATAAAAGGGCTGAGTGTTAACGGCAAAATCCCCGTTTAATGAAAGCATAGGGAAATTTTTATATATGCAAATTCATTCTACTAAAATTTGGTACAATAAACCAATAAAAACGTCATATATTCAAAATTCATCAAATATTTTTTCAGCCGCGTGCATTAACATGAATACACGATGATTTGTTAATTTATTAACAAATAGTTGGTACCGTAATGTAAGACCCGCTTGATTTTTCTGTCTTGAGGTCGAGTCTTATGGGAGATATTTCCGACATTTCTTAATAAGATTCAAAAAAAGTAACAGAGATGAGATGATAATATTAAAAAAGAAAAAGATTTTTTTTTTCAGTGTTATGTACAGGTGATTAAGGAAAGAAAAGGAGTACAGAACATGACACAGGTCAGGCGAGTGGTTATGATGATCCCCATAGACACATACACACGATATAAGCAGAGCAATGTTAACAGCTCCCGGCTGACGAACTCCAAAAAAAAAAAAAAAAAACTTAAAAACCACAAAACGCACGAGCTAATTTGGTTGCCCATGAATTTGCCAGTCACTACAAGTGAGACATGATGATGCTGGGATCTTGACTACTGTTCTTATAACTGCCAAGCACGTTGTCCAACTCTCTGGCAAACCTGTTCATAGCCTTGGGTGGCAAGCACATAAGCACAACTCTGCCATCCTCTCCTTTATTATTGGTAGATCCAACAGAGAAACTCACTCCAGGAAGTGGCCCAAGGCCAGCCTCAGCCAGACCAGCATACACAGCCTTGCCCCACCCAAAATTAACATTTCTAAAGCCAACACGCGACAAGTCTGATATCATCCACGATCTCTCTGATGTAAAACAAGGTCGTCCTCTAGTCACCAAAAGATCAGCCATGGAGTGCACATACTCTTCATTCACTTCAGCCTTGGCTTTTTTCACTAACTCCAAGGCATATCCCAATGGACTCTCACAAAGTTTCCCCGCAGTGGTAACTGCAGCTGGATACACAAAGGCATTACCATAATAACCAGTAGGTATTGGAGGGTTAAACCTACCTCGGCCATAACGTGCATTTACGATGAGCAACGCGCGAACATCATCGTCTGGATCTAGCTGCAGAGCCTTAGTGCGGCAACTCCAGAGACAAGCTGTGAGGACCTCAAATGTTGTAGATTGCCTAAGGTGACGAGGAATGAGACGTCGAATGGCAGATATCTCAGTTGGCCCAAAGAAGAAAGATTGATGGGCTATGTCTGTTAAGGGAATGGTGGCGCCAGCCACTTCCTCGAACTCATGATGGGTGCAAGTAACACGCGGAGGGTTCCTTGCACTCAGGATCTCTCTGTGCCAGACAGGAAGAACGGAGGGTTCACTTGCCCCGTTAGCTATTTCAGCCAGAGCATTCATGAACTTGAAAATACCAGGTCCGTCGGTCACGGTGTGATTCATGCGAACAGCGAATACAAAACCTCCACACCTGAGACGTGTTACCTGCGGTTTATAAACTTTTCTTAGCATGTCTTGATATATAGAAAATTGTTAGGTAAAGGAAATAACAGAAGACCTGTATAAGTAAGAGGGGACAATAAAGGATTCCTTCAGAACGAGGAACATTGTAAAGGAGGTCATTGAAGCATGGAAACGGAGGTTTAAGATTGTCACCAAACTGAGCAAGGGTTACATCTGCATCAGCTTCAATAAAAAGAACGCCTTTTCCATTACACTCGACTAAGAGTTTGCGGCCAACACCTTCCCTGAGCCTACCTGCAAAGGGGTAGTAAAATACCAGTGTCTGAGCTAATGCGTCTCTGATGACTTTGACGGGGTCCTTCCCCACCATTGAAGCCTCGTGACGGTAGAAATGTACCAGTGGAACATGGGCACGTAAACTGTCTTGGTCGTCCAAGTCAGACAGTAGCTTTAACTCACGAGGAGTAGGCTTTGCTGGAGCCACAAGCTCTGGTTGGTGCCTCCTTACAGTAAAATTGAGACGAGAGGAAGTCGGCACAATCATAATTAATGTCTGCTTGGAAGAAAGTGGAGAATTCAACAAAAGGGAAAGGTCCTAGTTTGACGTGATCTGAGTTTTCATTTGTAGCTTGTATTTATAGTGGGACGAGTGACTGTTCAGCAGCGAGGCTTCCTTAGGATTCAAAAAAATTCCGTGCGCCCCAGACATACTGCTATGCCAACTGAAACAAACCTATCAGCCGCAGAAATTAGATACTACAATGATACTGCCCTAACAACGCAACATTCTGTAAGACAAAATCAAATTTGACTAGCTCTTCGCCGTATTTAAATTCTTTTTAATATACATGCGCGTGCAAAATCAATTTCGACTTCTCATTTCAACATGTAAGTCATACTTTCCAAGTTTTATTGCTGATCAATATAAGTTACTTTCCGGCACTATTATTGGGACACGAACATAATTTTGACGGTCATTCTGCCTAATAAAACAGGATCACCTGTTGGATTCCTTCTTTGCCTCGACTGAGGTTTCACAATTGTTGTGATCTGCCCGCAGTAACATCGTTGGTTTATAGGATTAGCTGGGTAGCTGATTATTGATATAAAATATGGTATTTAATTACGATAATCGTTTCTCAATCCGCCTGGCCTAGATGAGCCTTCGTTGAATCTGATATCTGATATTATAAGTAGATGTGCAGCGGGGACACCTAGCAAAGTAATAGAGTAGACTGTTAGTCACTGTTTTTTGGCCCCGCAGGAGACTGCTGTAATTTTGGGAGAATCCCAAAAAAATATCCTTAAATTTTAAAATTTCATATCAGTTTTTATTATTATTATTTAATAACAATTCATAATATTTAAAAAGTAAATAATAATATATTTTTGTAGTAATTTCTGATTGAATTTTCTCAATATTTAAAAAGTAAAGGAAAAACCATATTAGAGGTACCTATACTTTTTTTTTTAATTTTCAATTTGGTACCTATGTGTTTTTTGTTCTTAACTAAATCTTTATTTTTCCTCTATTAACATTATTAATCCTTATGTAGAGACTGAAAATATCAATAGAACAGAGTTATAAGAGCTAATGTTGCTAAAAATATAAAATTAAATGTTTAATTAAAGGGAAAAAAACACATAGGTACCAAATTAAAAATTGAGAGAAAGTATAGGTACCTTCAATATGGTTTTCCTAAAAGTAAATGACAAATATCTTTGCGAAAACGTGACAACCTGTTGGTTTCGCTTCTTCCTAGGGTTCACGATTGCTGAGCCGGAGGCTCGCAGAGTTGCTGTTACATTTACATCATCCTCGGTTAATAGTAACAGATCTTGGATCCAGATCCCCTCAGAAGCGTTTTTCTCAGCGTCTCTCAATATCTTGACATCCTATCTATTCACATGATCCAAAGGCTCACAGTGCACCACATCATCAGGCCCATGCTCACTTCCTAGTCCAAGGGTGTGTTTGGATGAAACCAAACCGTGGTTTGGAAAAGTGATTCTGGAGAATAGATTCTGAGGAGAATAGATTCTGTGAAGAATAGATTTTGTAAAAAAGTGATTTTGATAAGTGTGAGTGTTTGGATAGTTGTTATCAGAAGCACTTTTTATATATACAAATTACTAAAAAAAAGACATAAGTTAATATGATAATTACAGAAAAATAGATTTTTATGATATATTTTAATTTGAAGGAATAAAATTGTTAATAATATATTTTTTTACCAACATAATTAATAATACATAAGATAATATAATTAATAAATATTAATGTGTATATATATTTATAAAATATAAGATTAAATATGTTTATAAAAAATATGTTTATAAAAAATAACAAGATACATATCATATAGGCTCTCATACTCTCCCTTTTTTCTCCAAAGCAAAAAAATTTTGCTTTTTCCAAAACCATGGTTTTGGTTTTTTACTGGGGTGTTTGGTTGAAACCAAACCGTAGTTTGGAAAAGTGATTCTGGAGAATAGATTCTGTGAAGAATAGATTTTGTAAAAAAGTGATTTTGATAAGTGTGAGTGTTTGGATAGTTGTTATCAGAAGCACTTTTTATATATACAAATTACTAAAAAAAAGACATAAGTTAATATGATAATTACAGAAAAAATAGATTTTATGATATATTTTAATTTGAAGGAATAAAATTGTTAATAATATATTTTTTTACCAACATAATTAATAATACATAAGATAATATATTAATAAATAATTAATGTGTATATATATTTATGAAATATAAGATTAAATATATTTATCAAAAAATATGTTTATAAAAAAAATAACAAGATACATATCATATAGGCTCTCACACTCTCTCCCTTTTTTCTCTAAAGCAAAAAAATTTTGCTTTTTCCAAAACTATGGTTTTGACCCAAAACCATGGTTTTGGTTTTTAGATCTGGGGGTGTTTGGGTGATTGACACCCAAACCATGGTTTGGGGTGTCACCCAAACACCCCAAATCTTGCACTTTAGACGACTTCTTGCGCGTAGCTTGAGCTAAAATTTGCAACTATCAATATTTCGATTGACCATGATGATGATTTGGCCTTGGGCTATGTTATTTCTGGTTTGGACGTTCTGCACCTAAAAGTTCATTTGAGAAACCAACTTTCCGTAAATTGTTTTATTTTTAAAATTTAGTCCCAAAAATTCCCTTTGTCATATTTATCATTTGAGAGTATTAATTGGAGAGTGTTAATTCTTTTTAACGATCTTTTGCTATTTCTGAGTTCTGCCATAGATTTGAATTTTTTAATAATGACTGTTTAAAAAAATGTTAGATCGAGCAGGAGCTATATAATACTGAGGCGAATTGCAAGGAGTTTATTTAGTTTTAACATCGTCCCTGCACTTATATTTGGCCAAAAAACAACATCGCTGCACTTATATACTGTAAAATATAAATTAAATTTTAACGGAGATTGTAACATGTCCATTCCTTCTGACCCACTTCATTACAATACTTCACGCATAAATTGTAATATAAAAGCATGTCCCGAAAATAAACGAAGTTCAAAATAAACCCAAACTAAGAGACGACGGACCAAGAGTATTCCTTGCATAGTCCGATTGGCGATAATTCGCCATAACTACAGGCAAGACATGATAAATTTAGAATCTGGAGCATTATCGTTGTGGCTGCTAAGCATGTTATCTATCTCTCTGGCGAAAATCTCCATCGATTTGGGCGGCAAGCAAAGTGGTGCTGTTATGCCTTCTTCCCCTTTAGCATTCTTACATGCAACGAAAAAGCTTACTCCAGGAAACGACCCAGCCCCAGCCATCGCTGGTCCAGCGTATATCGCCTTGCCCCATCCAAAATCTATATCTCTCAACCCAGAACGTGTTAAATTCGACACGATCCATGACCTTACCGGGTTGAAGCAAGGCCGTCCTCTGATCACCATAAGATCTGCCACGGATCGTATATACTCTACCGTTGCCTCACCTTTCGCCTTTTTGACCAACTCTAGGGCATACACAAGTGGACTTCTCGTAAGCTTATTCGCAGTGGTAACAGCGGCGGGGTACACAAAGCCATTACCGTAATAACCAATCGGCAACAATGGCGGGTTTGTTTTGCCTCTAACATTGCTAATGCACATTAGGCGAATCTCCTGGTCTGGTTCTAGCTGTAATGATATGGTGCGACAGCGCCAGAGGAATGCTGTGAACGCCTCAAACATAGTGTATTGACCATGGTATTCAGAAAACAGTTGACGGATAGCCTTTAACTTGTCAGGTCCAAAGAAGAAAGAGCTTTGGACCATAGCTTCCGGCATTTTTGCTTCTGTATCATCAGGCACTTCCGTGTACTCATGATGGGTGCATGTAACGCGAGGTGGGTCCCTTGCGTTTAGTAGCTCTCTACACCAAACTGGGGTAACTGAAGGCTCACTAGCACCCCTGGCAATCTCCGCTAAGGCTCCAAAGAATTGAGCTATACCATGACCATCCCACATGGTGTGGTTGAAGAAGTAGGCTAAAACGAAACCACCGCACTTGAGACGTGTAACCTACGATTATAAGGGGGGGAAAACATTATTAGCATGCTTGTGGAAATGCACGTAGCAATCAAGGTGCTTCTTGATCGAAAGCTGTTGGACACGGTCTTACAAATTAATAAGAAATAGAAATAGATAGCTAGATATGTGCTGTATATGGACCTGAACAACTAAGGGGGGACAATTAATGGTTCCTTCCAAGCCTGGAGCATTATAAAGGAGCTCTTCAAAGCATGGAAATGGTGGTTGAATAGGGTCGCCGAATTGGTGAATGGTGACATCTGCGTCAGCTTCAATGAAGACGACCCCTTCCTCGTTACAATCTACCATAAGTTTGCGGCCAGGACCTTCCCTAAGCCGACCTGCGAGTGGATAGTAAAAGACTAGGGCTTGAGCAAGCGCCTTTCTGATAAGTTGGGCGGGGTCCTTTCCTTGCATGGATTGTTCGTAAGGATAAAAGAATGCCGCTGGAAGTCGACATCGAAGACCATCCTGGTCATCTATGTCGGAAAGTAGCTTAAATTCATGGGGGTGGGCTTGGCGGGAGTGATTAGCTCTGGTTGGCGTCTCCTCACCGTAACATTAGATCCGAAACAGACGGTTGAGCCATGTTATATTGGGAGGAAAAAGAATTTATGAAGAGTGGCAAAACCAAGTGTGTTTGTTACTTTAGTCACTTGGCTGTGTGGGGGATGCGTTCCTAGACTGCGTATTTATATAATGGTGATGGGGTACTAAGCAGTAACCACTTGTTATCGCATCCATAGTAGACCCCATACCATCCATCACGTGCTAATTACTAGCCAATTTTCGTGTCGTTCCAGCGGTCTTTGCTTGCCTCCCTCATCAGAGCAGACATATGTGTGTGTGTGGTGCATGTGCATGCTTTAATTGTGTAACATATGTTGATCCATTTTTTTCGAACGAAAGGAGAACTCCACTGCGGAAACAGTCCATGCTCGCACGAAACCTTGTCCGTCGTCACTGATAGAGTCGAAAACATGTTATGGCT